ACTACTTTTAACCCACTTTAAATGGATGCAGGGTAAATAAATAATTATATTGACGGTGCAGGGCACGCATTTACAAATCGCGTCTAGTTCTATTTGCTGACAGGCTCGAAATCATTTTTAACTTTCAAAAAAACAGCAGCATGCGGCAAGTTCGTTGCCTGAGTCTTTTGATTGCAATGGGATAGAAAAGTTAGTTCGTGGATTGCAAGTTAATTTTTTGACAAGAAACACATTGCAACGATGTTATCAACAACAACAACAACACTAACAACGAAAACAACAACAGTTGCACAGTATGACCACCTGCCAGGCACACCTCTATTTTCTGGGCGTATATGCGCCTGATTAGCTGTTACCAATATTTTTGTTAACGTTTTTCGCTGCACTAAAAATTAGTCGCAATTCACGAAAATTTGCTCGCATTTTCGGTTTTGTTTCTGTTTTCGGTTGTAGTTGTTGCTGTTGCTGTAGCATTTGCCACACATTTGAATTTTTCGCAAAAATTGAGCGCTCTTTCAACTGCAACTGCTGAACTGAGCTGCAACTGCCACCAAAGCGCAGCGGCAAACGTTAATTAATTACGATTTATTGACTAAATTTGTTGATTAGACAATTGACGTTTGCCGTTGTTACAGTTGTTTCAATTGCCGTTGTGGCCAATTTTGATGTTGCCACACAATTTGGCCACTTGCCACACAATTGTCGTCAATTAATTGCGCTTTGATTTCGCTGATTTGATATGCCGCCCTGCAGGTGGCGTTCGTTATTTCGGCTTGATGTCAATACGTTGTTAAAAAACGTTATGCAAATCAAGTATGTGGCCTCTATAAAAAATAAAATAATAAAAAAAAAATATATCAAACACAAAGATATATATATATATATATATATATAGGAGCTTGTCCTATCTTACTAAACGACCTACTTAACGATACCCCATGCACATTCCAACCCGAAAGAGCTACTGAAGGTTCCTTTTGGGTCGGAATCGAGCACTAATTGTAATTTGCAAACGCCCCGTTAAAAGCGTCGGACTAACAATCGGGAAGTTGGCGGTTCAACACCATTAGCAATTGTCAATTTGTATATTTGTTTATATTATTGATTGTTATTAACAAAGAATAAGCAGTAATTATAAATTAAAAAACACCAAAGAAATGAAAAATTATTCGGATCTAACAATGATAATAAAAATTGTTCCTTTGTTTTCATTGTTTCGTCAGAGTCGGTCACTTGAGAGTTAGGATACGAGCCCCAGAATAGGAAGGGATGGGATATACTATTGCATAGATGCGCGGAAGAATTATTGTCGGGATATGCTAATCATATACATTCAACTACTAGAATATTTTTTTCAAGTCAATTACAATCCAAATTCATTCATTAAACAACAAAACAACTAATATAAGGTTAGATGCAGTTCAATTTATCCGCCATGGCACATGATTCAAATTTAAAACCCATTTAAAAAAAAAATCTAATATTAATACGGAAAAAATTAATGTTAATTAAATAATTAAATGAAATACAATAACTGAGGAATCAAATTCTCATGAGAAATTAATGTTTTATAAACTTAGAATAAATAGGCGTACGGCAAGGAGATCGATTTAGTTCGTGTCAAGGGTTAGGGAACAGGATTTAATATTCATTTAATTTCATTTTGAAAACTATTTAAAATGGACTTGAATTAAATCCGACCATCTACTCGTAACCAGTCGATTATCAACTGCAGTCATATAAAAGACTTAAGCGACAAACTTGAATATGGAACTAATAGAAAACTGACTGTACAGAGAAACGGACTGACAGACAGCGAATCACAAAATTTCCATAGTCTGCTGGTGCACTGGTGGCCATGGCGGTGGTGGTGTTTGTGGTGTGAAATTCCTAACTGGCACTCTCTTGTGGAACGAACGCCGCATCAATCAGCGGCGGCAGCTTAAATGCTGCATCATGACAAAACCATTACACTTGACCAGAGAGCGCGCTCCGGGTACGTTGATGGCGTCGGCAGATGCTCAGATGACTAGGCGACTAGGTTCAGCTCTCGACGTGATTGATTGATTGGCAGCGTGAGCAGCGGGCAGTGGGCAATCGGCAATGGGCAGCGACTGGACTGATGCTTTGTCTAAAAGCCGTTTAGAATAACACCAATCGACCAAATGCAGCAACAACAACAAGAACATCAACAGCATCCACATAGTGCAACATAACGAGCCCAGCAGCGAGAAATTATGCATTGTGTTGGAAAAATGTTTAATCTGTGCAATGCCAATGCCAATGCCACATATCAAGGCACCCTCACCTGGCCATATAGTCAGTCAGCCAGTCAGCCAGCCAGCCAGTCGGCCAGTCAAGCAGTCAGTTGGAGCCATCCAACGGCCGGCGGCCGTCAGTTGATTGCGCTTCATTATTAATGCCAAACTGTGTGCCGGCATTCGTTGAATTTGGCTTTTGCAATTTGCTCTCAATGCCGCCGTCGCAGTTGCTCCAGACCCGCCTTGGCCTTCATCTCATCGTGGGGGCAGAGGAGGCAGGCATTAAAAATGAGCTCGGCGTAACAGGTGGATGCCGCTCCCGCTGCCGCGACGACGATGGCGATGGCGATGGCGACGGCGACGGCAACGTGATTTTCGCCAAATCGTTCAGATTATTTTGAGATTGCTTGCGCCAGTCTCCACCAACTGATGTCCGGCAGGCCGTCCAATCTGTCTGGCACTCCTTCTCTCGGCCAGCTCCGCACCTTGCATTTGAACTTGAAACATTTCATTTTGTGGCTGGCGGCATCCGAGAGAGCTCAGCTCGGACCGATCGATTAGTGGCATTCTATTGCGTTCAATTTTCATGTGCAACATTGAAGCGATCGCCGTTGGCACAATAAACACGCGATTTATTTCATGCCGAGCATTCAAGTGCCGCAGTCGGTCAGCCAAAGGAGGAGCAGCAGCACCACCACCACCACCAGCACCGCCGACACCAGTACCACAAGGCAGTCTTGCCTTGCCTTGCCGTGGCTTGGCTTGTGGTATGTGATAATGGGATGATGGTATGATGATGCATGCGCGGCATACACAACATCCCAACAAAACAGCAACAAGTTGCAATGGCTTCAATCACAATGCTACGTGGGATACTCTATGAAAAAGTATTTGGCGAATTCAAAGATAAAGTTCTCAAAACATTTGCTGTAATTTTATACCATTTTTCCAAGTTATATACAGAAATTGTCTATTTAAAATTCCGAAATATGCTCATCACTTTTGCAATAAAAAATGATAATTGCCATAATCAAAATTAAGTCTATAAATACTTATTCTATTTCAATAAAATGTTTTTATGTTCAAAACTGCTTTGTTTATTGGATCATACTTTTTTTTAAAGTATATTCATATAACGCAAAGTTTTCGCCCGAAATGCAAGTGCTATAAAACAAAAGACTTAGGCAACAAACTGAAAATACTGCAAAATCGATAGGAGTGTGCATTCTTGATATTATAAGCATATAATTTTATTAGATTTATAGCAAATTATTTATTACTAAAAAAATGTCTATTATTATATGCAAAACATATTTTGTTTTCATAAGTTATAATTTATATATCAAGTTCCAGTATTTCCATATTGATTTTTTTGATTCTTTTTAATAATTTGGATTAATTCATAGATTATTGAGATTTCCTTTAGCTCATAAGCTTTCAATTCTGTATTCATATTCGCTGTTTCGCTTTCGAAAGCTTTGCTCTAAGGACAAACCAAACAAAGCGTTTATATGCTTGTCGATGTGCCTGGCACCTATCGCAGTGTATTAACAACAACAATAATAACAGCAGCCTACTCTTTTATATATATATATATATATATATATATATATATATATTTCTATATATATTTGTATTTATTCGGTTTTTTTTTCTTCTCCTCACTAGCGGCCAAGGTTAGTCGCTGCCTTAGTCGTTGTCGAAGCTTACTCTGCCGCATTTTAGCCGGTAATTGCTTGTGATGTATGATTTTGAGTTCTAGTTTTGTTGCCCGGTCTGGCCTGGGAATATCTCACAGACAGATGGACGAATGCACGGACGGACGGGGGCTTTGTAGTCGTTTTGCTAGCTGATTGCTGACGATGCCTATATATGCGGGTGATGTATGTTATATAGCTACAGGTATAGGTAAAGGCCATAGATATTGATTTGACAGGGGGTATCGTATTGATGAGAGCGCTTTCGACCACTGTCACACTTTCTAAGCACTTTCACCCAATTAGGGCGATCAGTCATATCATATATATATTGGTATATACATGTATATAAATACTATCAAGGAGCTGCTGATCTTATGCAAAATGACAAAAAAAAAAAAAACAACAACAGCAAAAATACTTGAGTCTCTGGTCTCGATGACAATCTTTTGTTTTCACTTCTGCAGAAACAAAAGCCATAAAGGATAAATTGTGACTCTCAAGTCGCGTAGTCGGTTCCAATTCGAATTCGAGTTCGGCTTGTGCCTGCGCCTTCGATTGCGCCTCGGTTAGGTAGCCGCATTTAAAACAGTCGGCGGCAATCGTTGAACTTTTGGCTTCGACAAGTGCACAGCGGGGTGTCTTGGCCAGGAAACAAAAAGGAGGCGGCGCTGCTGGCAATTTTGTTTTCATTTCGGCTAAATGGAGTGGAGAGGCCTCCACTGCCTCTCTACGGCTGCGATTATATCGAAAGACAAACGTTGGCCCATTGTTTGGCCAAGGCCCAATTGGGCCAAGTATTTAAGCTTCTATCGTATGATTGATTGACTGCACATACAACAGAACAAATATTCATTTTACATACGAAATATATTGAAAACAATTTCTCCCGCTCTCCGCGAGTGACGTCTGTGGTTGTTTGATATGCTGTTGTTCTTGTTGCTGTGCTTTTCATGCCATTTCGATACGGGCCTCATTTTTCTCGCCACAATTAAGAAGAAAGTTGGCGGCGCAATTAGAAAACTCGCATCGATCAAATTGCCACAGACACACACGTTATGGCAACGTCATATACATAGTATATGCTATCAAATACTGTGTCTAATTTCCAATTCTTGTTCTCTTCGTCGCTTCAAAATTTCAACAAAAATCAAAAACCATGTCCAGACGACCTCTCAAAAATGAGTTGCCTCGGGATGCGCATGTGGTGCAGGCTTTGCGTCGCGAACTTCATCGCAATTCGCGCCAGATTACCCAAACCTTCTGGCAGGAGTTTGAGCAGATACGCCGTCACCAGCGCAATCAATTGTCCCAGGAGCGTGCCAATCGAGAGCGTATTTCCATATTGATGCGCGATGCCAATCTGGAGACACAGCGGCAAGCGGAAGCGCTTAGCCGCAGCATCAGTTCCCATGGCGTTAATCCGGTTGCGCCATCGCCCCGCATGCGCCGAGAGCCACCAGCCATTATGCCCACGGCGGCGGAGATTACGCAAGAGCTGCAGAGCTCGCCGATCTTTAAGCGCCAGAGGAGTTCAGTCGAGTCGAAGGCGTCGTCCGACGGCCCGGATCGGACGCCGTCTTCGAAGTCTCCATCCGAGCAACTCCCTTCAACCTCCTTTCAACTACCCCGTGCTCCGCCCTCATCCAGGGTAACCATCGAACCGGGCACGCCTAACATGAGAACTCCGCCCAGGAATAGTCCAAACATATCCAAGCTGCAGTTGGCCAGCAAGCCAAGGAAGTGACAAGCAGCCAAGTGTATTTGGGACACATTTAAGAAATCTAATTTTGAGCTCAATTTTAAGATGATAAATGACTTTAGATTCCAGCTTAAGTTGTAATAACTGAAATTAGTTGTCATTGTTGCATATGCATTTTCAAATTTTTATTTACCAACTAATGAAATTTATTGTAAGAATACGTGTTATACATATACCAGCGGTTACTATCCAGCTTTGCCCGGCTCAAGATTCATTTTTTAAATTATGACATAACACTTACAAAATGTTAAAATTTTTACTACCATAGTGAATTTGTATGGGTAATTTCCAAGTCGACTGCATCCCCATCCATAAAGTAACTATAGTCAAATCTTTAGCTTTGTAACCTTTACGGCTGGATCAGTCAGATAATAAGTCAGCCAGTACAAGCAATTTTTTTTATATAGAAAATATTGGACGATTCCTATTAAATCATAGCTTACATAAATTAACGTGAAATAGTTTTCCGTTTTCTCGATTTAATGAATGACATAGACTCCATCAAAATAAACTTTACCTGACCCCAAAGCCATGCACTAGGGAATTAGTAAACAAATTCAATACAACAACAGACAAAAAACAACTTGCAAATTAATTAACGGTACACGGCCCCCATATATAAATAAAGACAAGGCAAGATACAGCACACGAGGGAAAGAGCGAGACAGGGAGAGCAGCACGCACTCAGACACCTGAGTAATCAACTTTATGTGGGCATGGCCGGGCGAATGTTACGTTACGTTAAATACGATTCTGATGCCAGATTCCGCTGGTACTGCATAAATGCGATTAATCACGTTAAGCAACAACAATAACAAAAGAAAACAATCAACAAAATGTAACGTTATTCATCACAGGTGGTAAATTTAACTGACAACAAACGCGCGCCGATCCCCAAGCCAGATCCGCCGACTTTGTCAGATCCGTGGCCAGAGACTCAATTCCGATACCTAATACTTAACACACAAATCGAAACAACAGCAATTTCTGGGTCAAAATAATTAATAAAAGCGAGCGACTTTTGTGCGCATGACTTGCCCAAAAGCGAAGCCGGCTCTGGTGGCCAAAAAGCCAACACGGACGAGTAAAACTCGAGGAAGCGTTGCCACCAAATGGAAGGCGCAGGCATTGCGGCTAGGCGGTGGGCAGTCGCAGTTTTGTCGTCGCTTGGCATAAAAACAAACAAAAATAATCAATCAAAATGTCTTAAGCAAATCACTTGCATTTCAACTACCAAAAAAAATCAAGGCAAAAAAAGCCAGCCACTAACTGATTAACTGGAATAGTCTGTAAATGCGTTTATACGCTGTGCTGACCAGGAAATGCTGATATTACAGGCATAACTACATAAAATGCGCTGATATGTTGTTAGATTTATAAATATCAGATAAATCACAAATTATCTAAATATTTAATACCAAATGATAGGATAGAAGCAGAGAAGGCGAGACATGAGTAGCAAAGGAAGATAGGAAGCGGTAGCCAACGAGCTTAAAATGTTTGTTTCAATTATTCTCAAATTATCATTATTCTGTAATTCTCAAACGCTTTACTGACTGAAGAATTGGCGTCAGTTTAATGAGAGAATCTAAGGGGGAGAGAGATAGTGATCGATCCCAAATTTTATATTGATTTTCTGGTATGCCCATGCCCAGTTGAGAGCTTTTACAATTTTTCTCAATTCCTCTTCCCTTGCTATTCTTAAATGCTTTACTGTCCAAGGAAATGACTACAATGAAAAGAGAGATACAAAATTTGAAGGAAAACCCAAATTTTATATAAACTCTCTAATATGGTCATGTTAAGCTGCGACCTTCTGATTTTGGCTATTCTGTATTGTGCGTCATTCGTAAACGACTTACTGTCTGCATCATTTAAATTTATATAGAAGGAACGTTTCTACGAAGTTCGAGACTATGAACCAATTTTTAACATTTCGTTATATGGTGTACTGCACAAACGTGGCATGAGACTAACTGACTGTCTTGACTGACTGGCAAGTTTGTTTGGCAACTTGTGATGGACGTCGGTTGGGCAACAGTCACGATTTGCATGTGCGACAACTGTTGCCAGCGCACAACAAACAGCAACAATAACAACAGCAACAAATCGCGAGCACATTGAACTGTCATTGACACGGCAGCAACTTGGTAGAGTACCAAACCCCAGACGATCAGGAGAGAGACACCTGTAACTGAAGTTGAAAGGCAAAAGGCGAACGATGAATGCTTGGGTGGTGCAGCAGCAGCAGCAGGCACCACAGCAACAGCCGCAGCAACTGTTGCTGATGGGTGCGGTGGCAGCAGCGACAGTCGTCAGTTATAGCCGGGTTCTCAGCTTTGCCGGCCAATTACTGCAAACAAATTCGAATGCGAATGCGCATTGAAAATTGTGGCAAGGTTGGTAATTTAAGACTCACGCCGCGAGACCAAAACCGAACCACCAAACCGAGAATCGAGAACCGTTTCTTTTGTCGCCACTCGCCTGCTGCTGTTGCTGTTGTTGATGTTGTTGTTGTTGTTGTTGCTGTGGTGCTGGTGATTGAATTGCTGATTTAACGGTTGCTGTTGTCAAATTAATGACATTCATTCAATTCATACCATTGGCAAACGTGGCCAAAACGGTAGTTTTTATTGCTTGGCAAATTGCAATCACCAAAGAGCGCGTGTTATTATAGTTGTTGCTAGTTGCTGTTGCTGCCGCTGTTGCCGCTGCTGTTGTTGTCATTGTCATTGCTGCTGTTATTAATGTAGTTATTAAATATGTATTTACAACTGCCGCCGCATAAAGCGTGCCAATTTTGGGTGCAGTGCTGCACCTGGTGGGGCCAACCGGGTTGCCAGCCGATGTCAAAGTGCAAAAGTTTAGCGCAAAGTTCTTGTCGTTATTTGCAATCGTTCCATTCCGTTTCGTATCGTTCCCTTCCGTTCCGTTCTGCCTGTATTGTAGCTGCTGGCAAAGTGAAAGGCAACTCTATGGACTCCATAGAATCCAAGTAGCCGTCGTTCTGCGCCGCCTTGGCGCATTTGACGCTTAATTAATGACTGTTTTATATAATTTAATTAGTTGTTAATGATTTGCTGATTGGCTGGCACGGTAGAGGTCCATGAATCAAATGCTAAGTGAGTGTCGCCCGCTTCTTGGTTTTTTGGGGTTTTTGGGTGGGCTTGGCAGATGTCAGGGTTGCCGCCTGTCCCAAGATAGCGCAACATAAACATGGCGCTAACTAGTTAATTAAATCGTGGCCATGCGATACCAACTAATGGCAAACTCAAATAAAGGCTAACAGCCCAACAAAACTAATTTATAATAGGTTATATATGTGGCTTGTCTAGATTACTCGCTGGTATTACACAACAGATTCTTTGCTTCAAAATTAAAAATAACTTTAAAGGCAATTGGACCTTAATTAAATTCATCCCATACATATTTTTGTTTGGAATAAAGGCCATATTAATATAATTCAATTAATATTTACGGATATCCTACAAAGATGAGACATCCTCACATTAATTGGAAGAGAAATCTGTGAAATTTGTTTGAAGCAGATACATTTGTAAACAAAAAAGTTTCATACAAACTTATTTCGCAATTTTTCCATAGTTGATGACAATTTAAATTGGGGTTACTTTTAGGCAGTTTTTAAACATAATACAGTCCGATCCAGCTCGAAAGAACAGCTGTGCGAACGACCAATAACAATGCCAGAACAATTAAATAGAGAAGATTTTGGAGGCATAAAATACTCTTATAACAAATAGATCATAAAGTGACCACAAGTTAGTATTCGGTCGACTTCAATAAATTCAAGAGTCTTTTCATAATCAAAAACAAAAAGGTTTCGGCTTGCGTGTTGCTTCTAGAAGACCTCAAAACACAAAATTTTAATTTAAGGCCAAATTGAACATGGCAGTCTAGACAAAATGCTTGTTGTTTCAATACGAATTTCGAATCGCCAAGCAAACTAAATAAAACGACAACAACGCCAACATTTGCTTGCCACAAAAAAAAAAAAGAAACAAATACAAGAGCAACAAATACACGTTGCAATTTTGCAGTGTTGTGGCATGAGTCGCACATTCAGAATGCGTTAAGTGGTCGATTAATAATATTTGCTAAATAATAGTTAAATTTGTGCAAATTTATGCCAACATCAATTGCATGACCAAAATGCGAATCAGTTTCTGTTAGGCGCCATAAATTAAAGTTAAGAGCGCTTTTTTATCGACCATCGATTTCCTCGCCAATTAGTCACAGCTTATGCGGGTGTCTTAGCGGGCTTAACTAGCGCTCAAATATCTATGCCAGATGTGCCAACGATAGCGTCCATGCGGCGATGTGATAAGGTGGATCCATATTGTCGCCAGCCGGTGGCTTAACAAGCCTGCGAACGACCTGCCAATGTTTGATTGATATTCCCAACAAAGCCGACAGTCTGGAAAATTCAATACGCTGCGTTTCAACTTCAGCTGTTCCAAAATGAACCATCATGTGCCACTGCCCGTTTTTCTCTTTCCCTTTTTAGCTGTCATAATGTTTTATGTCACACTATTCCATATGCCAACGAGTTATATCTCATGCATTCGTATCATAATTTAATTCATTGCACAGTTTCGATTCTCATTGTTGCATGTTCCAGTGATGCGTAAACTTAACAAAAACATCCTTCCGTTCCGCGTTCCACTGTTTCATACTGCTTCGCCATTTTATTTTTCTCTGTGATAGCCAGTGCCTGCGAATCAGTTTATGCGGTTTTTATTGCAACAGCATAGCGATAATCTATATTTAATATCCAAAGCACATATTTAAATCAGGGGGAACAGCAACAGGAATGAAGAAGTCAATGGCATTGGCACACGCAAAAAAGTGAAAGAAGAAACTGTTGGAGGAAGTGGAGTTTGAGTCCGGTTGATGTGACGCTGCCGGTAACTCAATATTTAAGCACTTACACGTTAATTTAGGCACAAATTGAATTAATAAACCATGTTGAACATTGTGTGCGGTCTCCTGTTTCCCCAACCCCTCCTGTGCGTTTCCCCCTCTACACCCCTGATAACCAGCTCCTTTTCATAATTCATTAATTTATGCGCGGAACGCGGCTCAATGAACCACGAAAACAAGCCGAACTGACCAAGAGACCAAGTGGTGGAGAACCACCGTTCCGATCGGCCCAAAAATGAAATTTGAATTTA